ACAAGGTTACGTTGGGAGAACGAAATCAGCCTTTGGTCCGCGAGGGCAAAGTCGACGGGAAAAAATGATGATCTGCGCATACATTGCCGCGGGACGCGCACTCGTGCATGTAGTTTTTTTCTAATCTGGCGGGCGCTGCGGCTCCCTGAAGTGCAATAAAAATGGAACACACTACACAGACATTGCCATGCAGAGGCGGGCGGTGCGAATTTCCGCAACAGTTGCCGAGGCGCCGTGGCGAACGGGTTAGCGCTTGTTTCACAAAACCCGGCCCGGGTTTTACGCGCCACACGCACCCTCCGGGCTCTGGCTGGCTTTGCAGGTGAAATGGCTCGTGTTTCACCTGCGGTTAATTTGCACAATTCCTGCCTGCACTCTGCGTCACTTGGACCGCCTTGCTTGCCACGAACCTTTAATGGGGACTGCTTAAAATTCTACGGTGGCAGCAGTCGTAGGATTTGGAGCGTTCAACTAAAGCTCGAGATTATAATTTGAATTTCTCGTGAATAACTCAAATGTAATTTGTAAAATGAAAATAAAAATCGTTCAGATAATTCAATTTTACTTTCTCAAGAATTTGAGGAGGCATTGGTCAAGAAACGCAACAGGCCTACAAGACATCATCATGGCCTGATCCCCCTCCCCCAAAATAAATTAATAAAAATAAAAACAACAAAAAGGAAGAAAGGCTCAAAATATTATTTAAATAAAAATACTTTGATAGTTTCGTGACTTTAATTTTTATATTCTTGTGATTATTTTTTCTGGACTAAACAGAGACTTTTTTTTAGGGGATTTGTTGTTAGAAAATTTTAATATTTAGCTCCTACATAATAAGTGAGATGTAAAATTTCAAAATAATTTTTGATATAAATATTAAAATAAAAAGCTGAAATATCAAATGAAGGTTACACGTACGTCTCATTAAAAAATAGCTGCTATTTAAGTGATTCAGAAAAATACTTTTCCTTATATTTAATTTGTGTCTGATCTCTAGAAGACTATTTTTACTTCAAATATATTTTAATATTTCTGTTTTAGAAAATTATAATATTTTTATTTACAAAAATATTTTTCCCTTAAAAGCAGCTTCACCTCACTTAGAATTTTTTTCTTAAAGTTTGGCGCATAAAAATCGTCAGTTGATCAATATTATTTTGTGTTCAACAACGCCGCGAACCCCACTTAATCATAGCCGAATCGTGATTTCCTCTTCATTTCATCGATTGGTGTGTGATCGCGATATATCTGCTTTGGATTATAAAACACAATAAAAACGCACGACAGCCAGAAACACGTGGATAAACGCGTATAGAGAAAGGCCGGTGGATTTTGTAAGCAGCTTTGGCATTTCCAATCTGCCGGCAGCATTGTTCTGCACCGACCTTTGTGCGCGAGAGATCTCGTGTATTACTTCTTTATCCACTTGGCGGAGCTAGGCGGCCAGCTTATTTATCAATCGGCCGCTCTCACAATATATAAGCGTTGTTAACTGCGAGCGGAACCACCAAACCATAAATTATCCTGATTGACGTCACGGTATTTTCTTTCTTGTTGCAAACAGCCCTCTTTCTCCTAGTACGTGCTTGCAATTTGTCATGCAAAGAGAAAGTGAGAAAGACCATTTATAAAATAGGACAGTTAAATCACGGCTCAAAATTTGTTAAGAGTTAAATTTATTCTCCGAGTATGCCATTGTTGCTTTTTGATAACACAGTCTCTGCATTCCCTTGAATCTAATTTTTACGTAATTTACATTAATCACAGATACTTATAATTAGTAAAAAAATCAAACCATGGAAAATAAAGATGATTTCAAAGGCAACCTACACTCACATTTCATTACAAACTCGACTAATGTAACCAGTTCTTTGCAAACTATTGGTGCTGTTATGTCTAACAATATTGTTTTCCTCTCAAAAATTGTTGAAGTATGTTTTTATTTTCCTCTGATGAATTAAACCATAATATATCCAATAATATTTTTGAGTGGCAAAAGACTTTTGTCCTCGGTGGAAGCTGGAATCAATCTTTTCCTTCTATTACATTTTAAAATGGACACTTATAGCCTAGAGTCTATACATCTTTACAAGCAAATTGGTAGCAATTAGATATTTTTGATACATTCGTTTAATTTATAAATAATTGTTATATCTTGGGTTTACCGCGGCGGCCGTGTCTCTTTTGATGTCGGGCGTTTTAGCAGACATCTGCTAGTTGTAAACCTTTTCTTCTCTTTTTTCTCCAATTTAAAAATTTTTGTACAGACCGAGAAGAATAAATAATAATAATAATCTTGCGCCTGTTACCAATTTAATTATTTACACATCTGGGAGAGTTAAAAAGCTTAAAATAAAATCATCTAAAAATTCTAAAAAAAATTGTTGAACAATTAACATTACATTAATATACAAAAGCAGTAATTTAAAAATTATGATAAATTTTAGCATATAAAAATTAAATAAACGTTTTATTAAGTAACAAAATTATTTAAAAAGAAAAAGTTCTTGCTCTTCTTCTCCATGTCAATATAGCATTAACTTGAAGCGTCCACATTTGTTTTTATAACTTCTCATCACAGTGGAGCGAGGAAAAATTGAATTCTTCCGCTTATTTTCCTTCTGATTCGCCGGCAGAGAGGCTGGCGGGGCGCGTTGCTGCAGAAACGTGGAGGCACCGTAATAACAGCGAAAGAATATAAAATATACAACGAGGAAAAAAAGCAGCTCAGTCCGTCTGTGCCGTTTCCCTTCAGGGATGAGAGCAGCAGAAGAAGTTACGACGCACTCTGTACCGAGTGTACACAAAGGAGCGTTGTAATTTTGCATTACTCTTATTATTACCATAGCCTCTACCGAGAAATGAGAATGTGTGCATCTGTGCAGGTGTATGCAACTTGCTATCGGATGATTAAATATGGAATGCCGAGTAAAGAGAGGAGCAAAATAAATAAAAAAACACTTTTAATTCCAGTTTATCTCCAACTGCCGGTTGAGAAGCTGCCAGCAGATAAAATGAAAGCGGCTGAAGAGATTTCACTGCTTGGGCAAATACGAGCGAGAGGCAATCTCGTTGGCTGGTTTATTCGCCGCCTAAAGAAACGAAAAAATAAAAAAAAATTCACTCTCTGTCGGCGACAAACGCAAATTGGGAATTGCCGCTGAAAATGTGTAGGCAGAGATGGTTGTTGATTCGCAGCCAATTCAAACAACCAAACATCAGAAATCTAAATTTGCAGAAATCAAATCAACTTTTGCGAACTTTGTGTTTGAGAAGGAGGAAAAAATATCGTTGATTAATTTCACTCTGCGTTACAAGTTACAGTTTTTTTTTCTTATCAAAGTCAGTCGCACGTAGAAAATAGCACTCTGCCGACTCCATTAACGAGACACACCCATTTTCAAATGAGATTCTCGTCCGCATTATTTCTTACCCCTGGAGGCCGCAAATTGCGTCACAAGAAGTGCGGTGGTGCGGATCTGTACCAAGAGCCAGCCGTCTTGCACTTCTCTCATTTCACACTATTAGCCCTAAGCAGCTTTAGAATATTTCGAGAGACCTCTGTTGCTTGGAGGCAGGATTAAAGAAAATGGATGATATACAATTTGAAAAAAAAAAAAAAAAAAAAAAAAACGGATACATATCAAATGCAAGCATATGAAATGTAATTTCTCTACGTGGAAAATTCTTCAAGAGAAGTAAATTTTCATACATTGATGGAAAAATAATTAAAAATTGCAAAGTAGTTCGTCTCCCTACCATACCGTTTTTTTTTTAACTTACAAATTTATAGCTCTACACTTCTATTGTTATAGTCATTTCATTTCGCATTAAATTTCAAATCGGTAATACTTTCACGGATAATGTTGATTCAGTTATTAATGGATATTGCAATAATATGTTCATCAATATTTAAATCACTTAAAAATTCTACTCGATTCTTTGTTAAATCTCTTACAAATTTAACTATGTTGTTAATTGTAATTAATTTATTTATTTAATTTTGTACTACATTATTAAATCATGTTTTGGCGTTTATGTCATCCCTGTAATAAAAAATTTATTTAATATGACAAATGTTTTATAGCATAAAACGAAATAAAAAAATATATATGTAAAAATAAAAATATTTTAAAATAAACCAAACCATAAATTCCCACTTAATATTTAAGATTATTTTTATAAAGGTAAATTGCATATTAAAATAATTTTTATACATAATATTGATCTAATGTTATTCCCAAAGTAGGCCCCTCAAGAAAATGAGAATCAGGCCATAATTCGTTATCAAAGAGCACAAGGGCGCACAAAACGGTCGGTCGGCCTCTGTAGGCCGTATACCTCCGGCGGCGTCGAGACATAATATAACAGCGGCGGAACAAGATGCAGTTTTTCATTTTTTATTGCCGATATTTCACCCTTTAATGCCGAAGGAAGAAAAGCTAGCGTGCCCCCGTTATATAATTCCTGAATAATGCCAAAAGTATAAATTGCTGGCAGAAAAATTGCATGTCGTCTTAAAAGGCCCCTGCGCGCGCCTCAGCCGTTCGCCCGCCCCGATTTCATCATCCCCCGCCGGGCTGCATTAGCCGCGAGGGGTAGGATTGTAGTAAAAATGCGTAATAAAATTTATCTGTCTTGCTTTTTCCATCCCACGAGCCACATCGAGCGGGGTCATAAAACATGGCATTATTTTATTTTGCGTTCGTATATTTGTTTGTGTGCGCCGCGATGAGAAACGGGGCTCGCACAAATCAGCGGGCGGATTTACGACCGGCCATCTATGATTTCCCGGAACGTCCGTTGTTGCAAATTGATGTGTTGTGAAATGGAAATTGCAAATAACCTGAAAGAATTAAAGGTCAACCTTTATGTCCCTTATTTTATTCATAATTTCAACATTTTTATTGTATCGCCAAACGTGAGTGTCGCTTTGAAGAGAATAAATTTTGATTTGAAGGGGGAGGATTTATGATGATTGATGGTGCATGTGTACTTACAGTTTTGTTGCCCAAGTTTCGCACTCGGCACGTCAGGTAGGCCGACTTTCCCACGAGGGCGGTCACATTGCGTGGAGTGAGGGGGTCGAAGTAGGGCTCGTTGCGCCCCAGCGGGGGTTGGGGTGGCGGCGGTGGAGGTACCGTCTCCGGTTGAAGGGCGTTGTGACCCGAATTGCTGTTGTACGCCCCCTCAACCAGCCAGCCTGGAACAACAAGAAAGAAAGCTCATTAAAATAACAGTCTTTGTTTGAAAACGTTTTGTTGGGTTTTTCCCGCAAGTCGGTTTGATCAAAGGCATCTTTTCATGTTGCCTTTACATGATTTTTCAACCAAAGAGATTTGTATATAAAAAAATTGAAATGATGTATGAAAGTTAACTACTTATTGCGGAAGATTCATTAATCTGTAAATCAATAATATAAATGGTCTTATTACCCTTTAAATGATTTTTAAAGCTAGATTTAGTTTTAAAATTATGTTTATTGGGTTCGACAAAGAGCAACTTTTCCCTAACATGAACTCATCCAAATTTATTGACAAAATTCGAATTTAAAAAAAAAATATCATTTATAACTAACAAATAAGTATATAAAATTAAACAATTTATTCTATACTTTAAATTATTATTTGCGTTTTTTTTTTGTAAACAATTATAGCCGGGATTAAACACATTGAAAAATAAAATTGTTGTATAAGGTTCTAAAAAAATGGATGAAAATAAAAAATGCGACAAATTTCAAACAATAAATTTCAGAAGGTAAAATTTTAACACCAAATAAACAATATTATTATTAAGTACTATTTTTTTTTCTATTTTTCTACTTCATTTTTGAAACTTTTCTTATTTCTGTTGCCGAAATCCACCTTTGAGAAGAAAAGCGCGACTAACTAAAGCCAGTGCCTGAGGGTCCTCATAATGAGGCTCTGTGTGTCACAAGCATAATGCTGGAGGTCTCCGTGTTTGCCCACTTACTCGTTGCCCCGGGGCCGCATCGCAGCGTGTCATGTCAGCATGAATATTTGAGCGGGCCGAGCGGGGCTGAGGATTTATTCATCTGTCAGGCGCGGCGGCAACTTTGCGCCTAATGGAAATGGCAACACTCGCCGCTGCCGCCAGTTGGAAATTGCTCGGCGGTAACACTTTGTGCCAGAATTCCGACCCCCTTTCTCAGAGCAGATTCGGGACGAGCCCTCCAGAGATTAAATTTTGATGCGTGCCAGCGACACCCTTGGCTCTTATGCTCGCGAGTCGCATTTCACGCGTGTTCCTCCCACCGAGTATTAGCGAAATTTGCATAGTTTATTTGCATATTTGCCCTCTTTAAATTTGTAATGTCGAAAAGAAACCCGCCAGGTGCGGGTTTCCGGCAACGGCTTGCGTTGCTTCTGTTATTCATGTACAACAGGGGAGCCATATTGTTGCGGGGAAATTGTGCAGTTTCATTAACATTTCACCTTTGCCAAAAGAAGACAATATAATCAGTGTTCTCTTTAGGTTGCTCTTTGTCATGTATGTCTTTATTCCCTTTTCTCGCTGCAAATTTTTTATAATCCTTATTTTATTAATTATTATTATTGTCTTTATTAAACACACATCATGAATTGCTGGTTGAAATCAATAATAGAATTAAATTTAAATTTAAGTATAATTTAAGTTTTATGAGAGTTACCGAAATTGGCCACAACGACAAACTGTTCAATTCTTAACAATATATATTAAATTTCTTATGAAATATAATTATATATTACGTAATTTCTGACAAGAATCAATTATATTTTGAAAGAAAATTACAGAATATTTATTTTGCACTCTTCCATGGTAATTGATCTTTAAAGAATAATAAAACAATTTAAAAATGAACAATTTTTAAATAATTTGGTCACTGTCCTTAATAAATGTAACTTTGTAAATAAATATTGACAACAGAAAAGGTTTTTCGAAAATATAATAATATGAATAACATAAAACAACATTCCAGTTAACGCCTGCACCGTTCTTTATTGATAAATCCTTGAAAAAAAAAACTATATTAAATGGGAGCTTCCTTGTTTTTTTTTCGAAAAGAAGAGTTTTCATGCAGATGTTATTTTCGAGGTATTTATGTTGGCCAAATGAGGCAGCTCTCGAGAAAAGAATGGAGCCAAGACCCTTTTCATGACCGAAACGTGCCGCTCCTCATTTTCCGCGGGGCGTATTTGCCCGCCGGCGTGCATTCACGAAACCCTCGGGCCGCAAGCAATCTGCCCGCAGGTCATTTAAAATCGTGAAATTGCCTCTGAAATATTCAGAGGCACGCAGACTTGTGAGGAATCCGCGCTTTTAAACGTTCCCCTCGACCGAGAAAGAGAGATGATTTTGATTGTTGCAGGCCGTCCGAGAGGCAAATGAAAACCGCACAGCCAGGTGAATTTTGCGCGTTTTGATAAATGGAAATGCGCAGCTGGCCCAAATTCAAATTGGCCAGACGGGCGTCTAATTATTCCGCGATTACCCGCCGGCGCGCGGCGGATGATAATTTTCAAGAGCAGCAGCAATTTTACTGCGAACGCTGCAGCATTTCAAATAATCCACGGCAATTATTTTGATGCTAATTGCCCAACGATATCCTCTGTGCGCTCCAATCTGCCAAAATAGGCTGACAGCAATCTGCAGTGAGCTGCTTTCGAGGCAACTGCTTGTCTCAGGAAACGCAAAATTTGCATAAATTGTTACAATAATAACTGGCACAGACTATTCTCAAGTCAAATCTATTAAAACAGCTGGAAGCTTTGATTTGGAAATCAAAATTTCTAAATAAATATCATTTATACCTCTGCAACGCTAGTTAAATTGTTAATTGTAAGTAATAATCTACAATAGAATTATATCCGATGTAAGCAATCGGCTAGTCTGTTAGTATTATAATTTAATATTGTCCCATTTCTACTATTCATAGAATTTATTTGACTGAAATAATCCATGGACCTCCATATACACCTATTAATGTTTGTGAAAATTCATTACATTTCAAGTTAGACACATGACAATAATTTATAATTTAATTTATCATAAATAAAAAAGCAGCGACAAATATAGACTTTCATTCTAGAACAAATATTTTGCTAAACACTGTTTTAATTTAAATACATATACATTTAAAAAGATGAAAAATCATTATTAAATCTATAAATAAACATATTTTAAATAAATAAAACTAAATAAAAATTAGTTGAAAATTAAATTACTAAATTTAATAAAATGTAAATTTATTCTAACCCAACTGTCAAATTTGTCAAGCTTTAGGATTTTGAATTGTGTAAAAATTCAATACTCGTCAGTCGAATTTGCATAAGTGCCAGTCCGTTCCAATCGCGGCAGAGAAAGTGTGAACGAACTGGACGTGGATCATCAATGTGGCAAATCGGGCTGGCGGCAGGTGTGACACCGAAATGGGATGTGTGTCACGAAAAAAATGCAAATAAGCAGTGACACGTTGATTGATCATGAATATTTATTGGGCACACAGAGCCAGGGGCGATTTGTAATTTTACAGCTCTTCCAACGTGCAAACGTACGGAGGCTATTTGCAAAACTGTCTGCTCCCTGTATTGCACGCCGGCAATTAATCATCCGCGGCGACAAAAAGTTGCCCGCCATCAATTTCGGTGCGAAAGCGTAGTTTTGCACTGGCCACTCGCGGATCCCTTCCGATGACACTGAAAAGTTGCTGAATTAATTTTCTCCCAGCTAAAGGAGGATTATTTGTTTTCAAACCAAGTTGCCCTATTAAGCAAACTTTACTTGTGCACTAATTGAATGTGAAATTTGCACAAAGTACACATTTTAATTACACTATTAAGACTGTGCAAACTCGATTGTTCTAAGAAAGTTCGCTCTTCAAAGTTATGCGAAGAGCAGAACAACAATGCTGAACCAGTTGCATATAATGAAGGAAGATTTTCTCCCAAGTTCAAATTTATGCAATTACTTGCACTATGCGACTTGATAGATTTTGAATAACAAACTCTTTTCATTTGCTCTGATACAAGTGCACTTACTTAATCAATATAAGTACAACTTGTAAAACTTCTTTGTTTCCCCCACAATATCTCTAAGTGCAAAGTTCAGAGGGCGTTAAATCAAAGCGTTAATAAAAGCCGCCGGAGCTTTTAGTTCTGCACGTGGATTGTCAGTTTTCCAAGGTTTCCTTTGGGGGAAAAATTATAAATAAAACTTTTTGTCCTAGGATAATAAAATAAGAGAGGTGTCGGAATTATTTCTCACCGGAAATTCCCTAATTTCTCGTCAAAAGTTTGTTAATTAGTCGCAAATTGGCGTGTTTATGTTTTTTTTTCTTCTTATCAGTCGAGGGAGAGGGAGGAGGGGTCAAAGTTCACGCGCACAGGAAGAAACTCTAGGGCTAATTAAAAAGTTGCAGGAAGATAATTAATTCTGCGTGCACAACACGGTGGGGCAGGAAAATCCAAAAGTTCCTTAATGGTACGCGAAGTATAAAAAGTGTGCCACTTCTCTTGATATTCTGGCAAAAAGTTTCTGATGTCATCGCTCCAGAAACTGCGCTGCGCGAGAGGAAGCGAACAAGGCGGTGAAGAAAAATATGAAAAGTCGCCCGGAGCGGAGTTGAGCTCCGAAAGTGGCCCACATTTTGCGCGTATCTCCTTCCTGCGCTGCCACTCTGGAAAGATAAAAGTACCAAATCCAGGGCTGCAGTTAATTGCCTCCACTTGTGTGAAAAAAGTCGGAAATCAAATCAGTTGTAAATTAATAATTGCCAATTTTCCGTCGTTGCTCTTCGGGAAATGAAAACATTCATTTTCAGGACAACATTTGTTCTGAAGTGAATAAAGTGGAAAATTGTTTCCACCGTGCGATCATAACAATCTCATTTCGATTGCGACTGGGAAAGCTATCGTTGGCACAGTCGCTCGGAGGAAAACACCCTTACTCTTTTCGTCGGTCGGGGCGATGGAGATGAAAAAGCTACACGACCATGGCCGCGCCCTGAGCCAAACGCGGCGGCGTGTGTGCGAAAAGAAAATCAACGCCGAGAGAGATGAAACTAGCTCCGCTCGTGCAGAAAGATCGCGTGGCGATGCAAACGCACAGAAATTGCCTCCGGCCGCCCCAAGATCCGCGGAATGCAAAGCGAAGGAACGAAAATAGGCGGCGAGATGGTGGCGTACCCTCGACTCAATCTGTCAA